TGTATGAATTATTGTTGAAAACCCTATGTTTCATACAATCAGAATACATTTGAGTTCAATGTTGAACCCTATGATACACACAATCAGAATAAATTTGAGTTCAATGTTTTCAGAAAACCTAGCTATACAGGCATTACTATCCCAAGTGATTCTTCCCATTCAGACAGTCATAAATTAGCAGCCTACAATTTAATATAGCCTTTGTCTGCTAACAATCTAGCTAGGGAAATTGATATAATTACACAGATATGCCATAATAATGGTTTCAACGCGGATACAATCCAGAAGTTAGTCAGAAAACAAAGCCGTACATTCCCTTATAGATTAATATACCCTCAGATCAAACAATCAGAAATCAAGAAATTGGTAACTCTAACATATTTTGGTAAAAGAATAGAGATAATTGCGGGTTTCTTCAGAGAAAACAATGTGGGAGTTGCATTTAGACCACATGCCAGGTTAACTGATTTCCTTTTCATTGCCAAATATAAAGTGGACAGGTTGGAGAAATCTGGAATTTATAAGCTTGAGTGTCCGGAGTGTAATAGTGGACAATGCGGTCGAAATTTCCAAAAACGGTATGCTGAATATGAAAGGTCCTTCAGACTAGGTAAAAATGATTCGACGTTTTCAAATCATTACTTGGCATGCAACCACAAGTTTCCGAATCTAAACGCATATTTTGAGTTATGCAAGGAAGGGTTGCAAACTCAATTATATGGAATCCTTGGAAATTCATAAGCATAAACATTGCGGATGCAACCTGTTAAATGATCATATCGATCTAGTTTACTTTCAAATCAGCATATCCACATTGTCACAAGTAAACTAAATCCAGGTACTCAATTAAGCTAAGTACCTCTATTATTACCTACAGTAAGTGTTATAAATATAAGGGCTGATGTAATCAATCATTTTTAGTTTAATGTATAAGTTTGAAAATGTCCTTATAGGACGAAACTGCAGTAACGTTAGTTACAAATAAAATACATTAAACTGTAATGTATAAGTTTGAAAATGTCCTTATAGGACGAAACTGCAGTAACGTTAGTTACAAATAAAAGTGGTAAAGAAACAGAAAGTTTCAATTCTTTCTTCATTATTATTTCCTACCATATAGTAACAGCTACATCTATCAATTTATCCAATGATTTTTAATGAAAATTCCTAATACTATTTTCTGTGAATTCTTTATGTTACGACAAATCAAAATAATATTTATATTTGAAAATTAGTTTAATACACAAATTATACACAAAATATCTTTTGAACGATTTGGTAGCTGAAGCTGTAGAAAAAATAGATTAGTTCTTGAATTCACAGATGAGTCCACCAATGTATTCATCTCTCGGTCAATTTGAAACGATAGCGCATTTCAATTGGTAGAAGCAATCTTTCAGAAATTTCCTGTTTAGTTTCAGAATTTGCCTCATGCTAAATTGTGTTTTTTGTCCAAAAATAGAAACGACGAGATTCCAATTTATTAAAATACCCTTTTTGCATTTCTTATATTGGATATTGAAATACTAAAGGAAAAGGAAAAAGGAGTGGAATGTTACTACATTTCCAATTTTTGATAGATACACTTCTCCAATGAATTAACGCACCACATTGAAATTTCAAAATATTTTGTTGGCGTTAATAAAAACTCCTACTACAATGTTATATTTCGTAAACCCCTCGTATATGCCACTTGTGAATGCGATATGTTTCGACTGTGGTTCAATGCTTTACTTTTTATTCGCAAAAAAAGCACGAAATGTACATATTGAGCTCGCAAATCTGAACGAGTTTAAGTAGTGTATTTATTCGGTTACTGTTTATTTGTAAAGGATTCTCAATTATGTTTATTATGGGGCGTCAATCACGTAATTCAACCCGTGATGAATGTGCCCAAGCAGTAATACTTCTGGAAGAAAGCTGGAGTTACCGATAAATTGGTCGTTGATTCAATGTGTTCCACACATACATTACACGGATCTTACGAATATTCCGTGAAACAGGCGACCATGCTCGTAGACCAAGGCAAGGACGAAGTCGGGTAACCACCCCTATTCAGGATCGATATTTGAGAATTTTGGCACTTCTACAACTGTTTGTTACATATCGAAGTATACATATTCAGTTTCGAAATGTGTATGCTATACAAATCAGTACGGAAACTGTTCGCCAGCGACTCAGCGTCCTTTATTAACTTCAGACCATCTAAGGGAGAGACTACGTTTCGCCAGGGAATACGTCAATTGGTTAGAGGCTGACTGGGAACGAGTGTTATTCACCGGTGAGTCCCGATATTGTTTACACAATAACGACAAACGTGTTCGTGTTTATGACGTCCTAAGGAACGATATGCTCAATGTAACTTTTGATAAACCATATCATGGTTATGGTGTGGGGTGGTATTTCTTTGACGGCACGTAGGGACCTCTTGGTCATACACAATGGGTTCGTTACAGCTGAAACGTACATAATGGAGATCTTGAGGCAACACTTAGTACCATTCGCTCTTCATATCGGCGAAAATTTCTTACTAATGCAAGATAACGCCAGACTCCATGTTGCACAGATAGTCAGAAATTAATTACCTTGAAGAGGTTGAAATTAACACCATGGCGTGGTCAGCACGTAGCCCGGATTCAAATCCAACAGAAATATCTGGGATATCCTTGACAGGAACAGGGGGAGAAACTGATTCAGGTTTGAACAGAACTGGACCAGACTGAAATAAGGCACATAATGTTACGTATGGACCAACGATGTGAGACGTGGTAGAGGTTGAAACACTCGTAATTGTCTCTTTTCTGCACATCTCTGTCAACTTTTTTGCCAACAATATTTTGTTTTTAATTTTCTTTTTTTTATTTGTTACGTCAACCCTCGATAATGAGTTGACACAGTACTACAATTACTAATACTATGTAAATTAACTCTGAAGATGTTTCATTTTTTATTTCTTCTCTGACTACAAATAATATTGATTCATTAAAGTGGTGCGTTAATTTCTTGGAGAAGTGTACATTATATTCCTAGAATTCTCTTCATTTCCATTATTATATCTTATTGTATTAGGATCAATTATTTTGTTTTCAATATAACAACGTATTAGAATCATGTGTAATTAATCTGCAAATTATGAACAATTTTTCATCAAACTGGCGATTTCTGGAATGAACTAAGAGCTTCTTGAATGATCTTGTCTTGTCTGAAGTTTTAAAATCTCAATTAAGGTATCAAAGAATATAACAGGATTTTAATGAATATATGAATTGTAACTGAACGTAATGTAATGCAGTGCCAACACGAGAGAATGCTATAAAATTCAAGAATTATGTAAATTACCAAGACCACTAGTCTATTGTTATTCAATATCCCTGAAGAAATTGACGTTGAAATGTACTTTAGGAGAGAATAATTGAAAAACCGTTTTTGGTGCTCTACGTTTATGTTGATATATAGAGTGAGAAACTTTCAAATTACGAAAGAAAATTGTGTAAGTCATATAGGTATGTTTCGTTCAGAAACATATGCATGAAAGATTACTCAGTAGAAGACTAACTTAACCTAACAAATGGCAGAATTCAGCATTTGCACATGATAAATTAAGGCAGAAATTGCTCTTCCATCCAACTAGGAACAGCCAACCCAATATAATACAAAATATTTTCCAATCCAACTTGTAAGAGAAATAAAGGGAGAAAAACAGGAAAGGGAGACGAAAACGAATAGATGAGAATTTTTTCTTTCAAATGTGAAAAGTTATGTCATTAATTTAATATAATTGAAGAGTTTCAATAATAATTATAGGTATCAACTGACTAAAATTATAAAAGAAGAAAACCGGATTGAAACATATATCTCTTCAGATTTTCCTTGAAACTATGTGGTGGTAGTGGGGGTTCCATTATGAATATTTGAGTTTTACGTAAATATCTTTCGCAATTCCTTTGAAATGAAACCTGAATATATTATTCATGGAAAAATATACAAAAAATAACAAACGAAGCAGTATTCATATAAAAATTGATTTGCAGGAATATTTAGCACTAGAGGAACTGAATATGTTCCTTCACATTGAGAGTTTGAAAAATAAGTCAGAACTTCATGATTTGAAGTAAGTGCTTACTTCAATCCCAGCCAGGAAGGAAATATTTTCGGGAGAGTTTCAATGTTTTTGGCTGTGAGCTTCGCCATTAATATGAATCCTAATGAGTTATATTTCATTAGAAAATTGTATAGATGGTTTTTCGAACCGTCATTGGCGTGGAAAAGATTTCGAAAGATTATTCTGATGTTGCCCTAATTATTGACTGTTATCAAGTGATGCGAAACTGATATTGTATAGTTTCCAAATAATATCACTTCTAGTGGCTATTTTGCCATGAGAATATACGTTAACAAAAGAACAATCAAACACATGAGTACATCAACAAATATGGTGAATATTCTAAATCATCAGTATAATGATTCAATATTCATGCTCTAGATATGTTTGTTATACGATACCGACATCCTACAGTTAGACGCTGAATTGAATTGATGAGAAACTAAATGAAAAATTGTAATCTGGAAAAAGCTTTCGAACAAAAGTTTCAAGTTAATTCAAAATGATGACTTGTATTGAATGGTCAATCTAAGTGAAAGTTCTAAGAAATATCTGCATTGGAAAACTAGTGAAACATTCGATAGATTGTAGAAAATATACTCAGAAAAGGTTCCATAGTTATTTTAGAAAAACTGGGAGCTGATATCAGGAATATATCACATAAGAAGATTGGCAAATACAAGATGACCAACAATATAACATACAGTGGAATAAATCTGCAGGCTAGTATTCAGTGCAAAAAAAGTACTGTTTCAAAAGCAATGCAAGTAGTCAGTTCTGAATAAAACATTATCTTCAGACCTGAGAAAGATACAATCAGAATTGTTTAATTCCAATTTAGATCATTGTACTATTCAGTTGTACTTTTGACAATTTGTGATAATATTTTTCTCCACAGGATTCAGCATAGGCATTGGGATAACATACCCTCTTTGTGGTTTCCTCATTGCTCACCTGGGTTGGCGTTCTGTGTTTTACACCACAGGATCGATCGGTGTTTTATGGTGCATCATATGGTATCTCCTTGCTTTCGATAGCCCCGAAACTCATCCCAGAATTAGCTTACGAGAACAACAGTATATCAAAGAGAACACTGTGAATACTTATGAAAATTCACGGCAACAAGCTGTTCCGTGGAAATCCATTTTTATGTCGATGCCTGCGATGTCCATCGGTATTACCACATTCGGGAGGATTTGGTGTCATTACACTTTCATCATTTCTGGGCCAACGTATATGAAGAGCATTCTTGGATTCAGTATTGAGAAGGTGAGCCTATTATAAGCAATATTACTCTGAGAAGGAATAAATAAGTTGAATATATCAGTCAGACATGATTGGTTTATTCAGATCATTCGATTTGGTAAATCTTTTCTTTGGAATACTGTATATTTTCTGTAAGATATTGGTAGGTGAAGAGGTTAGGTATAATACCATATTTGATTCTGTGAAAGAAGTAATTTTGAAAGATCAGCATGGCTTTCTGAAAAAAATCTTGTCTTACTAATCTGTTTTTTATTTCCCAATTCATTTCTGGGGCACTCGACAACTGAAAAATCATTAAAAACACATTAGAGAGGCGAAAGGAAGTCAAGGATCTCGGCACATATGGGTGTCCTATCATCTGGTTTCAATACGGATACTATTGGTGTTCCCCACTCTGATGTTTAGACTGGCTCAATAATACCTTTCTCTGTCATCAGCTGCAGTGCTCTTCTATCTTCTCGCGGAAAGTTAGAGGCCCGGGCGAGCACGATAGAGCACAGGCTTGGCCTCAGCTCTTAAACCTGAATACATACGGAAATGTTTGAGTTTACCAATTTTATTGCAGAATTTTATTGGTTGTATCTTCAACTATAACAGTGATAAAAACCTATTCTAAATGTGATATTAGTTTACCAGTGTACCCTCTCAGCACCGTATCATCCTGTTTTAATTCAAAATTACTGAACCTGTCGTTGTAATGTTTCGCATTCAGTACTGAAGCTGTTGCCACAGTGCCAATAAAAAATTCATAGTTTTCAATGTTGATTTTTACTCCCATTATAAAAAGGTTACTTCCTGGTTCTTTTGTTGTTGGCTTAAGCATATCATAAACCTAGTCGAGATAATGTTGTCTTTTCATCCTACACATTATTTCCAAATGCCTTAGTTTTCCACGATTATTACATGCACATTTCATGTCCACGATCACAAACATTGCACCAGTGACGTCATAATACTTGTCTATTCATTGCAGCTCGGCGGGTTTGCCATCTCGTCTGGTATCTATGGCGCTGGTCTGACGTCAAACGTGACACGAATGGTCATTACCATGACTGCTCCGTGGTGCTGCTGCAGATAGTGCAGATCGGTCATGTTCGTTCCATGTTTTGCTGCTGCCCACACAATTTACAGCACTGCATGATATCTCCACATCCTCCTTTTGAACGGTTATCCTCACAACTGCATCTATCGTGATATCTTCCATCTCTTCGCACAGATTGTCCAAGATCCTACCCTTTCGTAGACCATATACGAGCATACTCTTCAGTGAAACCTCTAGCTCTCTGCCAAATTTGCGGTTTACCGCTAATGATTTTACCATGGCGTACCACTCTTTCATCTCGCCCTCTTGCTCACGGCGATGAAAAATTCAATTCTTTCACGCAACACGGAAACTATAGAAGTGAACTGAATCAAACTCAACAACACGTCCACTTTCAAATTTTTATCCTGAATGGGATTGGCTTCGAAATATTGTTCTAGCTTTTTATTATTATATTGTTCAATCCTCTACTCCCGGGTTAAACTCGTTCACATGGACTATGACTCCGACAATTGTAGCTTCGCTTTCTTCTTCTTTTACCCAGATTTTGCTTTATCCTCGTCACCAATTGTTATGTTGTACACGAAGGAAATAAGGCTCACTAATATTCCAGGTAGAAACAGGTTTACTATTATCCATACAAATATATCTCTATACATGAACATCACGATAAATCAATGATAATATAACCTAAAAAAGGCGTTCGTGCTTAAACGCTTACAAACCTGGCCGTTGATCAACTACTCTTTTACGACCCCTCCTATAAATCCACGGGACTGTGGAACGATTAGGTTGAATCTTTTATGTGTCAATAACAAATATCATACAGGGCTCTCGGACAGGGCTAAAAATGCCAAATTAACTCCAAACGATTGGCGTGACGCTGGGAGTGTATCAGGGGTTAATTTAAACTCCTGTGCTTTTTCGATATATGTTGACGGAGTTGATGACGCCGTGCCTGGAGTCAGTCATTAACAGTCATGTGAACCTTTCTTTAAAAAACTTGAAATGCCCACTTTACCTGGAATATATATCTTTGAGATCTGTGTTCATGTATGCAAAAACAAAAATAAATTTTTGGAAGTGAATAATTATCATAAGGTCAATACTACACTGAGAGATTTGCTGCATGTTCCACTAACCAAGTGTCAAACAAAAAAAAGCGAATGTTGTGGGCCCACCTTTTTATAATGTTTTACCATCTACAATAAAGAACAGTACCTCATTGAACAATTTCAAGGAACAGCTTGAGCTTTGATTGTTAAAATCGACGAATTTTTCAATTCAAATGTTTGTGACAATTGATCAAATATTCTTCTTTTCTCCATTTTTGACTACCCTAGCTTTTGCATTTAGATTAGTTCAGTTGATGCTACTCCACCTCAGAGAAACTGTATAATTTATTAACAGATGGATCCATTACCAAGATATTCAGTGAATTATAGAAGTTATCGAGTTTTTTAATAATGTGATAAAATGAGATTTTCTATGTCTTTTTGTTAAAAGAGACTTTATCATTACTTCTCACAGTAGATGCATCTGGTGTTCCCAGTATAAATGCATTATAACCTTTATATATTTTTTTCAGAATGGACTGTTGAATGGAGCACCCTTTCTTTGTAGTTATATCGCATCAGTGTTCTTCTGTTATATTGCTGATAAGTTAGTAACAAAGAAATATATGTCTCTGACCAATGTTAGAAAACTAATGACTGCCCTATGTAAGTGAATATTTATAAGTGTGTTCTATTTTCTATTTTATTTAATTTTTTTAGCTCAAGTTGTACCTGGTCTACTAGTACTTCTCATAAGTTTCTTAGGTTGTGATATAGAACTGGTTCTGGTGGTCTGGTTTATTGCAGTGACATTAATTACTGCATCTTATGCTGGTGCAATGGCGAATGTTGTAGATATTGGTAAGACTTTTTGATGTATGCTTTTGAATACATACCCAATTTAAATCAACAGGGAATGTGATGAGATACTCTCCTAACTTCCTTTATTAGATATATTGTTTATTGTCCTATCCACCTATCTATACACCTATTTTTTTTAAGGAGGAGGGGAAATCTTTATAGACTCTGTGCCGGATTCCTACCAACTAAAACCCCTCCCCCGTTGCTCAGCAATACGTATCGGAAACCGCTCTCGCATTACTTCAATACGTATGCTACGAAACACTAAAAGTAAATTTAAGAACTATAGGACGTTAACATATACATTAAAAGAAAATATCACAGTTATTATCACGAACTTTTGGCAGCTAATTATCACATTTGGTCATCGATTTGTGTTCCGACTGATCTCGAGTTTCCTTGAGCTTATTTCTCGTCACCTGCTTTCTCTTTCCTTAGTTGTGTGGTTTTGTTCCAAGTCTTTTCGCCACGTAAGAGACTTTCCATCATATTTTCGGCATTGAATATGGTGTTCGTTTCACATGCATACAGAAGTTTCGCATTTTCCCACAAAAAGGGTTTGTTCTACGTCTTCGTCTGCATTGCAGTAAAGACAATCTGGATATTCTGCTCTTCTACGGTTATATAGGTACCTACGGAATCAACCGTGCCCCGACAGTGCCTGTGTGAGATAATAGTCCACTTCCTGCTCGGTTCGCGAAGTCAATACTGAAATTTTCTTTTTTGATTTGGCTGGACATTTGAATGTACCTGATTGGTGCCCTTCTGTCTCACAGTAAATACAATATGGTCTGTTTCGACACTCACTTGCCCTATGCCCTTCTTCTGCACATCTCAGACAAAATCCCGATCGATCTGGTCCTGCGCACTGTTCCTTGGGGTGTCCAAATTCCCAGCATTTGAAGCAGCGAATCTCATTCTGTCTTTCAGCGAATCTACAGATCGCTCAACCGATCCTCGTTGCTTTCAATTGCAACAGCTTTTTGGCATCGTCTTCGTGTACTAGTAATGTTGCATTCTGCTTATCTCCATCAGCAGGTCGAAGTGCTATCACCACAAACGCTTCAGTGTTCTTATTGATAATTTTGGAAATCTCTTCAACTATTTCTCTTTCTATCACGGTCCCGTCCATCCCCTTTATGTGGATGATCTTTTTGCTGGAAAGTAACCGAGCTGTTGCTTCTGGTACTTTTTGCTCTAACTCTTTTTTTTAAATTTCAGCCTTGTCCCATCCATTTTGTACTGTGAGAATAACTTCATTATTTCTACTTTTTCTCACTTCATTAATATCTACTCCTATTTCGCTTGGGTTTACTGCCTCTTTTATTGTGTTAAGTAAATCACCATACGATTTATCTTTCATTTGTATAAGGATTGCATTGTGTCATGGTTTTTTAATACGAGTACTGCCGTTGGCGGGTGTGTTTGTTTGAGGGTTTCTTGTACTTTGTATAACTCTCTCATTTTCTAAATAAACAATGAGTTCCACAGTCGTGTCAGCAAGCAAATATCTCAACATACGGGATAAAATCGTTCCGAATACATCATTTGAAATATGTACCGCTAATTTACTTGTTTTGTATTTGGTCGCATGCTTTTTGATCGCCACTAGAGATTGAAAGAGTAGTTTTTCAGATTGGTCGTTAGTCCTTGCCAGTTCTTTCAGGATTGCAAAGTACATCCATCTTATAAAATTGATTTACATTTCCATCTTGGTCTGGGAATCCAAGAGAATGACTCGTCATGGCTACTTCCCCTTCCTTTTTATTTTGACTGTCCATCTCTTCCGCCAAATTTTTTATGATTTGGTTTATGCTCCTATCTCTTAATTCAATGTTTTCCTTACAAACAAAGATAAACCCAGTGTCGTTTGATGTGTCATATATATGGCCTTCGTCAACCTTAGCCTGTAAGAACACATCTGTCTACTTCAGTTGTGGCACAGAAGTTCTCATATGATTCTTCCTTTTTCAGTTGCTTTCTTCTAAGAAGGGTTTTCTGCTCTTTTGCAATTTTCGCATTTCGTATCAGATATATGTTCCTCCTGGGCCAATTTCTTGTTATAGCCTGTTTCTAACAAGTGTATTTGTTCACGAATATTGTTGTTTTCGATCTGTAGATTATTCTGGCTTTCTACAGCAGAACTTGTAATGTTAATCCATTTTTTGATATTCCCGGAAGATAGTTTCTCAATTTGGTAAGAAAGTCTGCTGCTGATGTCAACGAATTCCTTCTTTGGTTTGTATATGTCTTTAATAACTTTTTCTAGTAGATTCACCTGGCTCGAAATTTGGTGGAGGATTTCTGTAATCGATTGGGTGTTGATGTCTGTGTTAGTGTGGGGTGGATTTTCTATTCTCTTTCGCTTGGAGGTTTTTTCCCTGCAGTCTATATCTGAAAGAGAGAATGCTCTCTCTCTAGGAGGAGTTCTGATAATATTACTCCTTTTCTTAAATGGATCTTCCATTTCTTTTACAAAAATCTCTTCTCCAGTAACAAAGGAACTCTTCTTGGCCTGGAGGTCTACAAAGAACGAGCAGCAGTCGCTGGTTAACGGTTCAGAGGGGCCTGCATTACCGGCACTGGGTATCCGTAACCCCGCACCGTAAGGTTTTCTTCTTTTTTGGTGTACATAGCATCGAAGAATTAAAGTTTGGTATCTCTCTTTGTCTGGCTTTTTCCCCTCGACCCGTCCGGTTCCAACTTTATTCTCATCAGTTAGAATTATGATTAGCATAACCTAAAACATGTTCTAGAATTTAAGTTGATTCGTGATAATTATTTGCTAAATCTTGCCTAAAGTTACGCTGGACCTTTGCAAATGAGTATATATGGAACTTGACAACATTATTTATAATTTTTGTGAGTATATTCGTTCCACTGTTGAACTCATATTGCTGAACTTGTTATGACAGAGGCCTGAGAATAATGTTGAAGTCATATATTATCTCACTTTTGCTATTATAATCGTTAGAAAAATCGAGTCGAATTTCATTACCTAGTTTTTTATTATGATATAATTCACCTCATATATTTCAGAATGTTAGACAATGTTGACATTAAAATATTGCCATTTTACGAAGGTGGATCTCCTGTACTGAATTATTCTAAGTAACATTGGAATATTAACATAAAAACAAAAAATATCAAAGGACAACAATTGATAGCTACATTCTGTATTTTTTTAAATTTCAAAAAGAAATGTCAATGACTCAAAACAGAAACACACTTGGCAGCATATCTTAAAGTAGCTTTCAGATTGCACCCTACACTTTTTTCGACCAATAAGAAACTTTTCCACTTTCATATTACCTGTTTTTGTGAATTGTAAAGGGGATAGACTTTCAGAGTGTCCACAGTGTTGCTTAATTTGTAGTTAAAAATGGCTTGTGTGATCTGTCGCTACCAAATGAAAACCATATGCTATGTGTTCGACTACTACTGAATGTAGCTAATACTTCATGTTGAAACTATATTCCAATCCAAGGTTCAGTAAATGTACACAAAAGCATGCTAATGCAATTTTTTACCAGGGCTGCAATGAGGACAAAATATTATTGCCATGTAGTTTCAATGTATACTAATTAACAACTATAGAAATATAATTTACAACACCTCAATACCAATGAAAATTGGAAAAAATATATTGAAAACATTATACAAGACAACCCAAAAGTACATATATGAATAACCTACTCTACTGGTGAGCTCAAAACAATTTCCAACATCAGTGCCAATGAATTTAACATATTTTTCTCGAATATTGCCTAGAATATCATTAAATCTCTACCTACCTGCAACATCTCCGTTCTCGATTATATTTCTAGCCTCCCAAAACCAATTAATTCATTTTTTCTACTATCAGTTGATCATGAAGAAGTAACACTTGCAATTCGAAAACTCAAGAACACCTCTAGCTTTGACATATTTCACTTGAATAGTCAAATCATCAAAGAAACCATTGACTTTCTTGTTGAACCTTCGACACAATTAATTAATCGCTCCTTCACGGAAGGTACCTTTCCCGATGTCTTTAAAATTAATAAAGTAGTGCCTATCTTTAAAAATGGTGATCCCAATATACCAGACAACTATAGACTTATCTCGATTATACCCATTTTAGGAGAAATCCTAGAAATTGTAATTGAAGAGTGCCTCCACAATTATTCAAACAAATGCAATTTTCTTCATGGCCATCAATTTGGTTTCATCAAGGTAGATCTACAATAGACGCAGCGGGGAAGGTAATACAAAACATTATCGAACATGTGGAAAGTGGTGAACTCACCTCGCTAACATTGTGGGATTTGAGTAAAGCCTTCCTTATCAGTAAACTTGAAATTTATGGAATAATAAACTTATTTAATTCATACCTAACCAGAAGGAAACAAGCCGTCTGCACAAACGGGGGATTATCTGTGGAGAAAGTAGTTTCCCATGGCATACCTCAGGGGTCAATCCTTGGATCTATCCTTTTTGTAATATATGTGAATGATATTTTTCAAAGCCTACTACCTAGCACAGTCGTCTGTTTCGCAGATGATACAATAATGATTCACTGTAACTCCGACATGAGTAAACTACTCGACAAGACCAATGAAATTGAAGAAAATGCTGTAAACTGGTTTACAGCCTTTGGCAAAAAAAGCACTTAGAATAATAGCTGGAGCTTCATTCGACGAACCATGATAACCTCTCTTCATCTTTACAAAATTCTGCATTTGCATTGTATATTTATTTTAAACACTTTGTTAGAGATCCATAAAAAAAGAGTATATTCTCCACCCAATAGACTATCATTATTATTCCACTAGAAATGCAGATAAACTTAGACAACCGCTGATTAAACTAGAAATGTATATACAAAATTTACTGGACCTGGAGCGAACAACAATCGGGCAAATTTCGGATATGCAGTTGGTTAGTACCTCATCCACTAGATGAAGCGAACAACAATCAGGTAAATTTTGGATATGCAGTTAGTTAATCCATTCATCCACTAGATGGAGTGACATTTTTGTTGTTTGCTCCAACTTAAGACGAGGAATGAAATACTCTGAAAGTATTTCGATTTTCAATTATGGAATATCATTGACTTTAGGTCGATGATGGCCACTATCTTGCACTTATGAGTGACTAAGGAGCCCGAAACCGGTCTGCAAGTGTGCCCGTTCCAAAATTGAAGGTTGACTCTTTCAGTTACATTGCCTATTGCATATGCAGGAAATTTTCTCGTAGGTCTCAAAAAATATTCACTCGATATATGTATTATATTGAAATTAGGAGTTTCCTATATTTTGTGTCAAAACTTACCTTCGTAAAAAAATTTAATTTTTCACAATATGCGTGTTTTACTGATGTTATTATATGTTATGTAAAAACCAATAAATTACTTTTTCAAAATTGATTTTTTTGTTTTAGCTCCCAATTTTGCTGGACCTGTTTTGGCCTATGCTCAAACCATACATATGACTGCAAGTTTTCTTAGTCCCTTGGTTGCTTTCGATTTATTAGATGGACAAGAGCACAACATGTCAGCTTGGAAGAATGTGTTTTATGTAACATGCTTTATAGCTGTTTCAACATATATATTTTTCCAAATATGGGGGACAGGAGATGTGAGTACATTAACATTAATCAAGTTTATGTGAACATGTGATATTCTATCTATAGATGGGCGAGTGGTTCTCATGTAGCATTTTTGAAAGCAGGACCTTATAGTGAAAGAAAAACTTCAGTACATATCCAGATATGGGTTTCGTGTACTTACCTAGTCACTTATTTATTCAATATTACTTGGTCTCATCAATTTCTGTATATAACTCAGAAGTTCATTCTGATTTCAATTTCACTTTCACACCTGCAAACTCGGACAATATTTTTTTCTGTTTTGGATTTTATTTGCATAGTCAATTGGAATTGAGGAATTCAGCAGTATATTTGTTAATGTCATCAAATTAAAGAGTTTTTCGATTCACTGATTTTCCAAAATAAAATATGGATATTGAAAAATGTTGTTCTAAATATAGATTTTCACAATGAACTTGTAGATTATCATAACCCTCTCTAACAATTATTGATAAAAAACAGATCTGAGGATTAATTGGATGGAACTGACTGATACTTGATGAAACTCCATATAAACACTAACTGTATGTCAGAATAATAATAATAATAATAAACGTCATTTATTGGTGAATACCAAAGGGTCATCGACAAAAGTCCTTCAGCCAGTGTACAATTTTTAAATATTTGCCGTGATTTTTATATATGCTTACATTATAAATTTGAGTGATTTGATGTTTTCCCAAATAATTTTTTTCCGGATATTTGGCAAAGAGGTTTCCTAGGTCTGATAGTTATTCCTTTGTAGGTTTCACTTTTGTAGTTCTATAAAGCAGTGCGTTAGACGGATTGTGTAGTATGTTCTGAGGGTGAAGCATTTTGGTAATACTCCTTATTGTAGATGTTTCAGCTGTTTGGAGATTATTCAATGCAGAATTACGACAACTTGAATAAATTACATGTGCATATTCGAGAAGTGGACGACAGATCATTTTATATATTTTAGTTACAGTTTTAGTGTTAAATGTCAGGTTCCGAAAGTGTTTTTCTCTGTTGATGCATTTCGTTTTATACATTGTTGTATGGCTATTCAAGTTGATTTTGTGGTCAATGTTAACTCCCAAGTATTTTACTGATTGCCTACTTCTTACCATTTCGTTGTTGATGTTTCTTGTTGGTATCGTCTCTGAAGCGTTGTGATGAAAAATGATAAATTGTGATGTTTTTCGATTGATGCAAGTAGTTTTCCTTTATTTTCAATGTTTTAATATCAACACTTGATCACAAAAAGGATTTGAAGTTTTAATAACTTCTAATTATTATATGCGAGCGCTTTCGATAGCAGACTGTGCTAGTATCATTATCATTTTCATGGCTCTTGAGTAGAGCCATGAAGAATAATTGGAAGTTATTAAAGCTTCAAACCCTTTTTGTGAACAAGTGTTAATATTAAAACATAAATAAATACGTGTTACAGTTATCTTGGAATGAAAATCCTGTAACTGAAATGATTATTCGAAATTTTTTTGGAATATAAATAATTATATATCCCCTTCAATTCAAATAAATAACTAATTATTGAAAGAAACCGACTTATTTGAAAGTCAATCCATATAATAGGTTATTTCAAAAGTTTGTCTGTTTTTATGAGTTTACTTAAAAGTGTAATATCTCAGTGAACCAGTGCACTTTTGCCAGCGTAACACAAGTCGATTAATTCCGACAGCATAAAAATTGTGTGCTCGTGATTCGATGAAGTCGACGAAGGCCGTTTTTGCTTAGTCCTGATTGGTGAAGGTTTCACTGATGAAAAAGATATCAAAGTTATAGTGAATCACCAGCCGCTGACCACCATACTAACCATGGTATTATTTGGTGGGTTTTAGCCTATGGGAAGTGTCTGGGTCTTTCATCGGTCTCTAACCACTGTCCTGAACATATCTCATTGTTGTAGAGGATCCACATTTCATCACACGTGACGATGCGATCCAAAAAGGGATCGTTTTGATTGTATAAAAGCAAAGAAGGACAAACCTTAAAACGCGACAATTTATGTTAATCATTCAAATCGTGGGGCACCCACTTTTCGGTTTTTTTTACCTTTCCAATACATTTTGAACCATCAAAAACCGCATGGAAGTTGACGCTCAGTTCTTCCGCCATCCCATACACCATTTGTGATGGGTTTGTTTTCAACAGGGTCCTCAAATTCTCGTCCTGGATTAGGTCGACCACTTCGGGGCTCATCTTCGAGGCCAAAATATCCTGAAGTAAATTTTGCTAACCAACGTCGACCAGTGTGTTCATTAACACTATTATTGTCAAATGCCTGGTTGATTTTTCTAGCTGTTTCGGCCGCGCTTTGGTTCAATTTGAATTCGAAGAGAAAAATTGGTGGAAAATCGCTTGTTAACGACATCATATGGTAATAAGCTGAAAAGAGGCAACACATTGAAATTTCTAATAAAATGAATAGTATCTATGTATAGAGTAAAAAATTTTCTTTCGATCAGTATATACCGTGATACAGCACAATAAATATCCATGGAGATATGGAGATACAAAAACAAATGACATCAAAACGGACAATACTTTTGAAACAATCTAACATAATAGGTTTGTTTTGGTTCTAACATCCGAAACTGTTTGGAAACTGGGCAAGACATGATGCGTACCAAGAAAAATACCCACACAGTCTGAAAGAATTTCGGACACTTGGTTAAACCAGAACGCATTTTGAGGAGACCATTGTATATGAGATGATCATGTACATCTTGTTATGTAGCGTATCCTTGTAGTCAGTTCAAATGTTATCTAACCTTTTTGGGATAGAAAGTTTTTGGCTTTCTACTAATCCATCTTGATACAAAAAAATGTGGGAATCTTCCTAATGAAGTATCAAAAACACATTTCAACTGTTGTTTGCGGCACTTACACAAAAATTGTATGAAAATTATTGCAATTGTGAGTTTATAAAACGAACATTTTAATTAATCTGTTTATTATTCTGGTGACGTAATTTTCAATTTCGGATTTTGCTTTAACCTTGACTAATTACTTTTTGAAAACATTCTTTATAACAATAGTTAAAAAGTTTGTAGAACTTGAGACAGAGCCGTTCTCAATTTAATAACACTTTTCATGATAAGAATTACATATTGAAAATGAAGTTGGAAATAAAGTCAATATTGTGAAATTTGTAATTATTATCATGAATCAAAATTACTCACTGTGAAATATAAAAAGGCCACCATTTAGTAGTTGTGAAAGCAACTGTTTGTTTTGTATAAAAGAATTGAAACCATAGAAATATTGAATAAACAATACTTAGTAAGCTGTCAAATGTCATCAGTTGGTCTCCAAATCTAAAAAATTGACTCATGATTGTTTAGCTATCTCTCTTTGATGTACTGATTGCAAGTTCATCCAAACAAGAGCTGTTGGTCATAGACTGATCAAAAATAAACGTGAATTGTTCACTTGTAAAAGAAAACGATGCACTATGAAAGTAGGTGTTTTATCAAGCATTTCATTTCATGCAAGCATGTGTATTCTTTCATTGTTGTAAGTGAACTTTCAAGTAGCTTGACAAATATTGGTAGTAGTTTTCTTGATCTGATCCATGAGAACACCCATCGGGATTGAAATGACAGGCTAAGGGTAGAAGTCTATTTTCATTATGTCCAACCATTCGACCAGATCGATGGCTTTACGTAATGTATGTAATCAGATGATTTTGAACTGTTTTTGTAGTAACCAATGTAATATTTAGTATTCCGGTTTTTCCCATATAGCCATGAGTATGATATTCAGGTATGCTAATTGAGTCCTAAAAGATGGGGCATTTTTTAAGTTCAGATAAATTATGATAATCTACAAGTTTATTCTATCTATATCTATCTAAACTACACCTTATGTTGTTTGTGAAGATCAAATCGTTAGGTGTAGTCCAAAAAAATATATATTTCAGTCAAAATTTTCAACAATACCTATTAAAATTTTCATCTTACATATTATTCCAAGAATTTTCAGGTGGTTCACCAAAGTTATTCATGATATTTCTCTAATGGAAGAATGATGTCATTATTTTAAACAAAAATATAATATTCAATTCATAATTTCTAAACAGCATTTCATTGTTTCATTTACAACTTTCGAAAAAAACTACATATTTTTGTATCAAATTTGTTATTTCAATTGAGAGTTGGATAGTGAACTTCGAACAAAAGGTTAGTTTTCTAAATAGACTTCAATTATAAATAAAAAACATTGAATAAAAAGGTTTACATTGTTTACAGATCCAGTCATGGAATTATTCAAATGGGCCTATTATAGTTCCAGAACAGGAAGTGCTGATGGTTGAGAAATCACCCAAAAACGGAACGAAGGTAGTGAAAAATAGTATGGAATCTGATGTTATCGCATGAAATTAGGAATGGAGAACAGCGACAGTATACTTAGTGATATGGAACCTTACTGTATTTTTTTTGGAAATATATTCTAATGATATACCAAATGTTCAGGATTAGATGATTTTTGTACTTAGAGAAAAGTTCTCTCTAGTTCGGTTTTCCTCATCTTTTAATGTGATAAGCTTAGATGTAGAATTTTAGGTTACGAAAAATTTTAGCATTGCATCAAGTTTTACAAAATATTTCAGAATAGTGGAAAAGGTGTGGGAGAAAGTTGGGATCCTTATAATAAATATTTCCTGATTTCACTTATTTGCAACAATTAAAATCGTTTGAATCTCAACAGAATCAAAATTATCCAAAAAAATGTTGAAGATCTCATTCATTGTTGATCATATGGAGTATTCACTTTCGATAGTAATATAAAAAATTCAAAGAAATCACCACATTCTAGATTGAGTTTCTAAGTACTTCTGCCTACTCTTAGGACAATAATACAATATCTCGACATTTTTTATTGTCATCAGGTAAACTAGAAAAGTAAAAATGTGTGTGCATAGCAAGCCCATGACGTGCATAACATGCCCATAACGTGCATAACATGCCCAAGTTTAGGTGGAAAACACCTTACCCCTTGCCTCTCATGTGAACCGATGAATTGTAGGTACGTGTGGCAAATATCCGATGGAAAAACCACAACTAACACAGCTAATGCATCGCAGAAAGCTGAAGTAACAGGCACCTCTCCGGAATATCATTATTATTCCGACTCCCACCCCGGAGTATATTTTTGTGGAGTTGTTTCCGGGCTTTGTTTGTAGGTAGCGCAGTGGACATACATAATCAACTGCAGATAGAATTTATGACTAGTTGGAATTAATTTTGTTTGTTCGGGATACTCAGGCGTTTCATTCTGTCTGAAGTAACCCGTCCGGTACTGACGAGGGGCAATTACCTCGAAATTGGTCTAATTTCTACTTTTCATTTTTAGGAAGTTACTTGTGACGAATCTTTCAGATGGAAGACATTGCACGGGTGCCTGATGGTTTCAATTCAGCTTTTTGTGTGGCATTAGCTAGGATAGTTGTTGTTTTTCCATTGGGTACCTGCCATACTAACCTATGAAGTCGTAGGTTCACATGAGAGGCAAGGGATAAGGTGTTTTTCACCTGAACTCTTTCTCACACACTGTCTACCGAAAACCTACCAATGCCAATCGCTATCTGAATGCTAAGTAACATCATCATTCTGCCCAAATTAGTTTTGAATTCTCTCATACATCAAGACTCACTGACAATCACAACAGATCTAATGAACTATAAAAACTCAAAGCCGCCCTTCACCAAAACGACTATCCCGTATCTCAAATCCAAAGACACAAACCCAAACCCTACACCCCGAATTACCCGATGAACAGACTGTCCAGCCAAAAGCTTTTCTCCATTACATCCATAGAGTTACCGACAAAGTAAGCCGAATTCTGAAGAACAATATTCACAGAAAACAATCAAATCTCCACTCTTTTACGAACATCCAAAGACACGATACGCAATGACACAGGGCATACATGAAATACCATGTTCCAAATTCCAACAGAGCCTATGAACATGAACTAGCTGTTCGGAAATCAGATCCAGCCTCATCCCTTTTTAAACATCACCTTGAAACAGGCCAAACAATAAGCTTCAGAAACACCAAAACCATTTCTATGGGGAAAACTCTTCAAGCTAGGATAATTAGTGAGGTCATTGAAATTGAAAAACGTCTCGACTGTCTTAACAAACGAGATAATTCACAGAGACTACCGCAATCAAAGAGGTCATTATTGTCTCGACACACATCTCAAAGTAACTGACGTCAAGCAGAAAGTCAAGAATTCATTCTCGACAGGTCGTGTACCTGTTACAATACCTTTACTTAATACCTGTCCAGTAGAATAAATACTGGTCCGGAACAACAAAGTTTAATTTGAAAGGGTTATATTTTTAGGAGTGATTAATTTTTTGGGAATTTTTCTTTGGAAGATTCTCTCATCCATTTTTTTTGTATCAGATGGAGTAGTAGAAAGCCAAAAACTTTCTTTCCCAAAAAACAAAGTTTACTTGGAGCAGAAAAAGCAAGAACGAGACTTGGGGTTACCAAAGGTTTTCATATAAAAATAGGTAATCCAAGAACAAATAATTGGTTTGAAAACTCAAAAAATTCTTCAACAAGATATTATTTATGGTTGTTATTGAATAGTAGAAAATTCTAATACATCATGTCAATTGTAAGAGTATTCATTCACTCTCCTACAATATTCACACGGGTGTTTCAAATTTGATTCTCACCATTGGGAGATAAATCTTGGTATGTTTGGTTCGTAGTAATGTGAAAGACAATATTATAAAATGATATCAAGAATGAACTTTGTTCAAGATATTCTATATGAACAGTAGCTCAAGAACACTTTCAATAAAACAAAATAATCAATCTGGCTACATAACTAGCTCAAGAATCACAAGAGAAACTCAAAATGATTTTTTTTGTAAGTCACACTCTGAGCAATTTATTTTCGTTCTCAATCTTCCACTGTTTCAAATAATGTTGAGTTGAAGGTGTCCGACATTTTGGTATTTGCCCCAACTGTAAATTCTATCTCTGTGTATTCCAAAAAAATGTGTTAAGGACACTGAGATCTGCAGACCTAGTTGGCTATCTCACACGGCCTTTATATCTGATCCATCTGCCACTGAACCTTGTGGTGAGGTGATTAGATACCTGCCTTGTGTTGTAAGGTATGATCTTGTTGGTACCAGATGCAAAGTTATTTGACCAGTGAAAAAACGTTTGGATAATCCTCAAAAGTTGATGTCAAAAGGTGATGATACTCTTCTCTATTCAGCAAATCTTTGAAGAAATGACCCAAAATTTGATTTTTATAATTACCAGTCTACACATTGAGACAACAGAAAAAAACTTAATTGATGATAGAGGCCGAAGGATGATAAAAATTTGAAAACACTATCATGCAGCAGAGAAAAAGTGGCAATGAAAATATGTAATTCATTTTGAAATATTCTATCAAATAAAGTCAAGAAAAAATGAAAACTATTTAATAAAATTTCCATTTTTTCCCAGTATTGCAGGAAATACTCGGAATTTCAAGAACGCCACTTTGTTGATCACATAAACGTGTAACTATTTCCCAATTCAATCTTCTTTTTTCTGAGATCCCAATTTCGAGAGACATATTTGAAATATCCGGTATACAAATTCTTTCGCAATACTGACTGTGGCAGAAATACCTTTACTTTGGGGTGAGTTATGAGGTTTTGGATTTTTGTACATAATTTCTAAAAATCAGTAGTTTTTCGAGTAGGTTACAAGGAAGGATGTATTCTGTGCAATCACTGGAAATTTCCACTGATGTCATTGTCATAATTTTCTGAGATTCAATTCCCCTTAGATATTATGCTCTCCAACTTTTCTGGTATCCCATCGTTAGGATATATTATTTGTTATCTACCATTGAACTGAAATATTTGGTATTCTTATTGAGGATGGTCTGCTCCCAATTTACACAAGGTTTATTTTACTTAAATAAAATAAGTAGCAAAAGTGTTTTTGACAATAATTTTTCTCCAACTTGTATTCAGAATAATTCAAAACTAGATAATGAATAATCCTATTGCTAAACTTTTTGGTATACTAACTTATAATTTGAAAATTTTATTTTGCATTTCATCATTCCCGGAAGTTTTCTGCAGAATTTGTTACTTCAATAACAAATATATTTAGGACGCAGAATTCAGTATTCAGAGGGAACAAACTTTAATTTATAGTTTAACTGTTATTTGTATTTTCATTTGTACATTTTTAAAACTAATAAGATTATATTCAATTTTCTAGTTTAGAGTGTAAATAATCTTGAAATATTTTATTTTGACTAACAATCCTAACTTATGAAAATACACTTTCCTCAATTTTTTCAAATGTGTGTAACTAAAAATTGAAGTTGAGTTGTTTTAAGCTTTTGGATGTTTTGAACTTGATTGAATTTTTAAATTTCTTTATGTAACTTAGAGATAGTTTTTACTGCAAGTATCTGTAGTTTTCAATTTTTAAACATTCATAATATAGGAGTAAGTGAAAAAATGTTCGGAAACATTTCTGTTTCAAACACGGCCATTTGTACTTCAAAAGAGGTTAAGTTTCTTGGAGTAATATCGATAGAACAATTTTTGAATTTGTTAAAAAAATTCCATAGTTTATCAGTTCTCAGGGCAGATTGCATTCTTCATTGTGGTTGAATGAACACAAATGATTTTATTATTAGATGTTTAGGTATTTGCACCTACCAAGGAATCAATATTTAAGTATCCAGCCTTACATAATTGTTGGTACTTGCATAATTAAGAGTAGATTAATATTTTTCTTACTTCAGTGGTTTCGTCAACTCAGATTCCAGTACAACATGTCCAGTTTTATTTTTAATTCCGATTTATAAAGAGACTATAAAGGTGGATTATACTTCCAACATAAGCCATACTTATATACAACAGATTTCCATACGTAATGATTAGAAATAATGGCCCTATTTGCAACACAAATGTTGCAAAAATTTAAATAGCATTATTGTGAATCGATTAAATCATAGAATCACAGTATATAGCATATATTCAGCGTATTCTTTCATTAATATCGGTTAGAGATGTAGATGCTTGAATTATATCGTCTCTGAAAACTATCAAAAATTTCCTTCGGAAGCAAAAAAAAAACATTTAGTGTTCATATTTTTTTAAAATATGACGACATCAAATGAACATGCCCTCGGTAAAGACAAAAGAGATTGACGTTGTTAATGTACTTAGCTTGAAACTACATTTTGTAATAACATTTATTATTGTATCCAGTTTATCATATATTACATATTGCCGTCATAATGCAAGGGGTCTGGTACAACTGAAGCCCCTACTGCAAGGGACGCGGTATAACTAAACCCGTAAACCCCCTTCTATCGTCGGGCTGCTCCTGCAGAAAGACTCCAACTATAAAGGGACATGCTGTACCTATAATTTCTTCTGTTACTTCTTAAGAGACACTTACTAAAGATATACAACTTTTGAATTCGAGA